ATAAATACACGTCAAACATTACACTCGAAATTGAAGTCTGAGATTGTTGATACGAAAAAATTACACACGTAAGAGAGACACGCGCGATACTGTGGAGGATAATCCGGACAGAAACAGCAAGACGTACCAACTCGTGACATATTTCGCGACTTCATAAACATTTAACGTCGAGTCCGACAGTAATCAACAACCCGGTGTATCTCACGGCGCCGCTAATCAAGCCTCAATCAAAGTTTCCGTATTTCTTGTCTCGTGTTTTTCAGCGCGAATTTCGACGTACTTAGCTCAAATAAGGGCGGATACTTCGCACCATCACTTTCGCGCGGACGGTTCGTCGGAGCAAGCTTCATAGTAATTAGAAGTTCCTAACCGTCTGGATGATCTTCCTGTAACGGATCACAGTCTGACGCCTGCCGCGTACTGAACTTGAAGGGTGGATCAAATTCTCTTGCACACACGTACGCACGTCGTGCAGAAGTTGCCCGTCGGTGTGAGCACGTTCCCTGAACGCGCACAAACGCACGCACGTACGGCGAACGGAATTTGTACATCTGAATCCACGACCCCGAGGATTAAGCGGGCTAGAGCCACGTACGCGTGCGTCCAATACGCACGTAGTAACCCAATCCTCTTAATTAAACGCCCGCCGAGTGCGATCGAAAAGTCGAGGGCAATTATAGTGGAAAAAATTGGATACGTTGCGCTAAGCGCTTGTACTTTGTGAATGTATAATGCGCGCATGTGGATTATAGCTTGTAATCTGGCCCATCCATCGTGCTACTCAGCTTTCCGACGTATTATACACATTATATAGAGATTATTATTATTATTTATATATTAGATTATACAGAGAATTTCATAGCAAAAATCATTGTAAAATTTTGGAATTTTGTAATCAGAAATAAAGATTGATATTTTGCAGTAAGAAAATTACTATCCTTTCATTTCATGTATTAAGTTAAGATACTCAATATCGAGATTTATATCTATTTCGATTTCAATATTAAGAGATATTTCTTATACATAAATAGATAAAAATAGATCAAAATAAAAGTCCTATCTCGAGAAGCAACAAGATTCTGCAAGTGCTGTTAGACATTTGTCGAACAACATCTGCACAGACGAGGCTGGACGTACTTAAGTTTGGAGTGTTGAAGGAAATCCCTGAAAACAGCCTGTTAAACGAGTCGGAATGGCTGGAAGAAATGGGGATAGAGGAGAAACCCCTAAAACCTTGCGCGGAAGAAAGTTTGTAAATCATTAGAGACTCCACACGCTCGGAAAACCAACAATTTCGCGACGTCAAACAATTCTCATGGGGACGAGTTCTTCCCGGGACTTATCGATTTATCGTTCATCACGCTACATTCGCCACTAATTCGCCGTGGGAACAGAAGATTTCCACCGTGACAAGGGGATTTTAGATCCAAAATCTATACCACCTGCGTATCGATCATTTGCGGTACATTCGTAAACTCATATATATTAATTATCCCCCGATATTAATAGCATAACCGATGCGTGTATCTCTCGTGCGCGGTAACTAATTCGCAACGATCGAAGTCACATTGCGGTGGGAATGGTCGTAGGACGATACCGTCGATAGATAAATCGCGCATGATAGATAACGTTGATCTAACTATAAATTATACATGTGCATGTACGTGTAATTTTCATGCTAACCAGTTAATCGCGCCACAAGCGTGATCGCATTGCGTCAAATCGCGCGTCCTATAATTACTGCATCGAATATTCCGTCAACATATCACTAAATCATGGCGTATCCCCTTTCCTCCCGTTCTCTATTTATTATAAACTATTATAAAATGCCCAGTGGCTATTAATATGTGTTCCTAAACTTATGTACTTATTAATTGCAGCTTATTTGAAATTAAAATTATCATTATTTCGCCCGATGTGTCTCTTTAAAACGTAATGCTGTCAATTTCGACTATCCGAGTACTTGTGTATTTTCATCGACACTTTACTCGGGTCTTTTGGGTATTATCCAATCTTGGCACACCACATTCAAAAATATGACATTTTTTTTGCAGTTCTGAT